AGTACATTTATTTATTATTTTAATTTTAAAGAAAAAACAATCACTAATTTTTTTTAAATCTTTTAAATGATAAAACACTAGTATTCATCAATCAAAAAAAAGATTGAAAAATTCAATAGAAAATTAGAAAAAAACCAAATTCCGCTCCAAATTAGATTAATTAAAAAAAATGTCAAATATCAACAAACTGGTGATTATATTACTTTGGAAATTTATTATGATTATATGAAAAATAACGATTTTAAAAAATTTTTGTCATCATCCAATGTATAAAAATAAAAAAATATAATTTAAAAAAAAAAACTGTGTGATGAAGTGTGTGGTTGTCGTGTTTAGATTTTTATTTTATTTCTTAAAACTATACTAAAAAAGTATATTCAATAAAAAAACATAAAAAAAATAATAAAAGTTTTAATAAAACAATACATACTTTTTAAAGGAATTATATTTTTATTAAAATTATAAAAAAAAAATAAAAAACCTAATTACTTATCTATTTTGGGAGGATTTTCTCCTTTTTTTTTAATAATATTTAATTTTTTAAGTTTAAATACTTGTTAACCTAAAAAAACAATAAAAAAATATTATTTATTAAATAAAATATTTTTTTAATTTTATTTTTTTAAATATTTTTTTTTTTAATTTTATTTTTTTTTTTAAATTATTTTTTTAATTTTTTTTAACTTTTTTTTTTTTTTTTTAATTTTTTACACATACACCTTATATATTAAAAATAACTTTTTTTAAAAAAAAGTTTTTAGATTTTTATATTATATTATATAAACTATAAAATAAATAATTTTTTTAGTCTCTAAAATAAACCATCTCACGTTATATATAATAGTAACAAAACGCTATAATATATATTCATATAAATACTTTGTAAATAATAATAATAATAACAATAACAAAACCAAACACATATATATAATTAAAAATGAAGTTATTTGGAAAAGCTAAACCAGCTAACAACTCTCAAGATACAATTGCTAAACTTAGATTAACATTAGAAATGTTAGAAAAAAGGCAAAAATTTTTACAAGAAAGATCAGATAGAGAAGAATTAGAGGCTAAAAAATTAGTTGTACAAAAAAAGAAAAGAGAAGCTTTATTATGTTTAAAAAAAAGAAACAATTTCTTAAATGAAGTTAATAAATTACAAGGTTCATATGATACATTATCCTCACAAGTAAGTAATACAAACAATGCACATTCTCATTCAAAATTTTAGATGCACATATTAACATTTTTATCATCATTATTTGTAGATTTTTGCATTAGAAAACGCAAAGATGAATATGGAAATTATGAATTCTATGAGAGAAGGTGCTCAATCATTAAAAGAACTTCATGGTCATCTTACTGTCGATAAGGTTGATGATACTATCGAAGAAATTCAAACCCAAATGGAAATTCACGAAGAAATTTCAAGAGCTATCAGTCAACCACTCGGTACTCAATTGGATGATGAAGAAGACCTTTTAAGAGAATTAGCCGAATACGAACAAGAAGATTTAGATATGCAATTACTTAATATTAAAGCTCCATCAAGAGAATCATTACCAACTCCAACCCAAGTTAAATGTAATTATTTTTTAAAACTATTATTAACCACCCACCACACAATTAAAATAAATACTAACCACAATCTTATTTTTTTTAATACCATTTAGTCCCAGCTGCCTCAACAGTTAAACCAGAACTATCAAAAGAAGAAGAAGAAATACGTCAATTAGAAGAAAGTTTAGCTGTGTAAATTTTTAGTTCATTAAATAAATAAAATAATAATAAAATCGTAATAGAAAACAACACAGATTTTTTTTAATTATATAAAAAAAAAAAAAAAAAAATTTAAAAAAAAGGATAATATCAAAACAATATTATTTAAATAAAACATGTATAACAACTTTTAAAAAAAAAAAAAAAAAAAACTAAAAATAAAACTTTCCTATCACTTTTTTTTAAAAATGAAATTAATACAATTTTATTTATTTTATTTTGGGGTTGTGGTTTTGGTTTGGTTTGGATTAATAGTTTCTTCTTGTAAAATTTTCCAGAATTTTGAAAGTACTGGAGTTGGATGAGTATTATTATTGTTGTTGTTGTTAGCAAATGGTACAGTTTTTTTTTGTGATGGAGATTGATTTAAATGATTAAAAGTTAAACCTTCATCGGGAATATCATTATTATTTGTATCATCTTGGGAAGTGGTAGGGGTTATTTTGGTTTTATTTGTTCATCATATTGGTAATTGGTGGTTGAATAATACTAGAAGGTTTTGTTGTTGTTTTTGGTGGTGTTTTCTTAAGAATTTTGTTGATCCTGGTTGTTGTTTGTTGGGCCGATTAATTGATATTGGAGCCTCTTGTAATTTTGGGATTTGGGAATGTTGGTCCTGGATTTGTGTTGAATGAATAACAATATGGTTATATTGGTTGTTGCGTGTGTTGACGTTGTATACGATCTTGTTGAATTTTGTTTAACTTTTGGGTTATTTTTACTCTGGGGTCTTTTTGGTTTTGAGGGTTTTCAAAAAGGATGTTTGCATCTTTAAACTCTCTATTAAATTCGGTTTCGTATTGAGTTTGTGATTGGGGATGACCTTTATAGTCCTTTAATAGCTGCTGTGGTTGATCATTAGTGATTTGTGGTTGTAGTTGGCCAATGGCATTTTGTTGGTCTTTTAATATTTGCTGTGATTGCTCTTTTAATAAAACATTATCTCTAAGTGGATTGATGAATGAATCATTTCTGAATCCCAAACCCAACTTTAAATGATTTGGTGTCTTTTTAGTGTATGGTAAAATATTTTTAACTTGACAATATTTTCTTAAACCTGCAAATGTTAAGAAACCAATGCAACCAATAGCTCCGCATGCAGTTGCAAATGCATATGGGGAATGCTCCAAGCCTGAAACCAAATTCATACCGAATGTACCTGTTACGACACCACCTAAACCTGTTGAAATTGTTAAAATACTTAGCATTAATTGAATGCTCATAATCTTGTTTCTTGCTGTATCTAATTGGAAATTAACGAACTCTTCAGTTGAATTTAATGTCTCTTTAAGTTGTGAAATGTTACTTGACATTTGTTCAAGTTGTCTAGTATAAGTTTCTAAAAGTATTTCGATTTCATCATGTTGATTTTTTCTTCTAGCACCACCGGTAGCATGTCTGAATGAAAGATACATAAGGGCCATATCCTCGTCTGATTGAAGTACATCTGTAATCGCATCGATAATCTCTTTAATTTTAACTTCAAATTGATTTAAACCCTTCTTATGGTACAAAAGCAACTCTTCTAGATTGTGCTCTGGATTCTCATTTAACAATTGTAACTCTTTTTCGATGAGTGATTGCATTCTTCTAAATTCCAAATCCAACTTTCTGCACACCAAATCCAATATGGATTCAAATACTCTAAACTCAAATGGTAATGGCAAATACTCGTAATTTGATTGTACTGCATCTTTAATATTAACTATAACTTCGTCACGAAGGGATTCATTTTGGGTCTCGAATAACATTACTCTATTATATTGAATAATTGCTCTAACGGCACCAATACTTATTAAAACCACTTTATCTCTAACCAATATAGATGGCATTTGTGGTGGAAATGATGGATCAATAGTTCTAAGATCACGTGCTTGTAATTTTAGTTCACTTGATAAGTCACCTTTATAAATCCTTCTTTCCTCTGGGTTTCCATTAATATCGAGTGTTATAACTTTAAAAGACTTTAATCCGTCGGTTCCGAAATTTGATGTTAAATTATTATTATTATTAATATTTCCATTACTATTACTATTTGAATTGAAGTTTGTAAAATTCTCTTCATCATAAATTTTTGTTTGTGTTGATGTTGTTGTTGTTGTTTTATTTATTAAATTAAAATTCTCTTTGCCAATACCGACTCTATCTGGTTTACTACTATTATTATTTATACTATTATTTGTGCCATTGTTATTGTTATTTTTGATATTACTTTCATTTTGCTCTTGAGTTGATAAAAATGGAGCGGCAAGATTATGTTTTGAAAAGTTTCTTTTAAAATTTAAATTCCCATGACCTTTAATTAAACCATTGACTCTAATTAAACTTTTATGACTATAGCTATTATTATTATAAAGTTTTAAAATATTATTCATTTATTAAATAGTATATTATTTATGATTATGGTTTTATTGACATTAAATATTTAAAAATAAAAATTTGGTGTGGGTTAATTTTTTTTATAATTTTGGTGTGTTTTTTATACAGTGCGTTTGTTTGTTATATTAATGGAGATAATGATATAAAGTTTATAAATTTTATGGTTGTTTCAACAATTCGTTTTTTCTTGGCTATTTAAATTTTTTTTTTTTTTTTTTTTTATTAATTTAATTTTTTTAATTTTTTAATTTTTTAATTTTTTTTTTTCACAGTTTTTTTTTTTTAATGTTTGGGATGATGATATAAATGAAGCAATCAATGGGTTTTCAAATGACTCTATTTAAATAGTTTTATGGTCCTATAAAAAATATATTTCCATTTAAAAAAAAAAATAAAAAAAAAAATTTTAGACAATAATAACAATAAATAATTTTAAATAAATCCTATACAAATATTATTTAAATAATTAAATAAATAAATATAAATAAATTTATAAATATTATCTTTTTTTTTTTTCGAAAATGAATTTCGAATTATTACCCACAAAATTTTATTTTTTTTTTTATTTTTTTTAATTTTTTATTTTTTTTTTTTTTCATTTTTTTTTAAAATTTTTTTTTTTTTTCGCCATTATAAAATTTTTTATTGATTTTTTTTTCATATTTACAATTAATAATATAATATAATCATTCATCAAAATGGGTCAAGCCGGTAAAGTAAGAATCGAATTAAACAGAATAAAATATCTAGCAGCGAATAAATAATAATAATATTTATTTTTTTTGTTTTTTTTTTTGTTTTTTTTTGTTTTTTTTTTATAGGTTTTTGGTAAACAAATCACTTATTCAGTTTCACCATTCCAACAAAAACTTTTTGTTAACTATTTCAAAAATGCTATGCCACATTTAAGAAGAGGTGTCAGAGATAACTTCTGGGCTTCAGTTCCATACATGGCTGCTTTATACATCACCGTCAACTGGGCCAATGAAACCTACCACAACGAAGCCAAAGATCACTGGTATTAAATCATCTTTTTTTTTAATTATATAAAATAATAAATTTAAAAAAAATTTTAGTAATATAATATATAAAACCAACAATACACAAATAATAATAAAAAAAAAAAAAAAAAGGTAACATATCATTAAAATACTATTTATATAATAATTTATTTAAACACATCATACTAATACATTTTTTTTTTCATTTATTAATCTCTAGTCAATAAAAATGGATTTTTTTTAAAATATACAAAATTATTTCGTTATCTTTATTTGTTTTTAGTGTAATGCTATATTATCTTTTTTTATTTTTTATTTTATTTATTTTTTTATTTAGTTTAGGGATCAGCAAACCAATTCGAATTATCTAGTGATTTAAATAATTGAATTCTTAGAGAAGGAGAAGTTAATCTATTGGCATTCATAAGTTCAACTATCAATCTAGCGACATTGGACGTTAAAGAACCTAAAAAGAAATCACATTCAGATGCCAAAAGAATTTCGGATAACAGACCTTCACCAATTTTATAATTTGGTTTGGTTTTTATTTTTCTTAAACCATCTTCATCTCGATTGTTTTCTAGTAAATAGTCACCAAATTTATAAGTTTCATCATTTCTAATAATATTCTTTAAATAGTGGAAATGCAAATTTGGATTGTTTTTTTCGATTATGGGCAATTCATTATCGATCACCGTTTGATTATCTGTAATTAAAATAATATGTTCAAATTGTTTACAATACGAATCATTTTTAATAAAATCTATATATTGATTTAAATAAACTAAAGATTTTATTGGATTATTTTTTATATTATTATTTGTGTTTGTATTTTTATCCAACTCTATAATTTTATCACCATTTCTTATTTGTATTGCTAAACATTTCTTTAGTGGTGAATTACCAAAAAATTCATTTTTATAAAATTCCAATAGTTTTCTAATTTTATGATTTGGTCGAATCAACTATTTTTTTGAAAAAAAATAAAAATTAGTAAACAATAGTTTGAAGGACCATATTATTGATTAATAATACATACCCAATTCATAATATGTGATTTAAATAAAAATAGGTCATTATTTAAAAAATATTGATTTGGAAATTTTGAACAACCAATAAAATTTACATAAACCCTATAATCACTGGTTATAATTGAAATTCTTTTAGAATCATCATATTCCTTTTCTTCTATATGGTTTAATACTTGAACCGATTCTTTGCTAAAATTATAATTATAGTTGTTTATTTTGCAGCTGTAAAAAAAAATTAAAAGAATCGAAAAAAATATCCCAAAGATTTTTTTTAATAATGGGTAAAAAAAAATTGGTTAGATATGGAATTGCAAACATAATTTAAATTATGTTCTGTGAAAGAATTTTGTATATAAATGTGGGTTTATGATTGTAAAAAAAAAATGAATCAACAATTGCAAAAAAAAAAAAAAAAAAAAAGATTGTGTGCAATAATGATGTTTTCTGTTTTTTAATGAATATTCTATCACTTTTAGTTTTCATAGAATTCCATTCAAGAAAGATTTTTTTTATAAAAAATTTAAAAACTGAAAATAAAAAAATTAAAAAAAAAAAAAAAAAATTTTAAATTAAAAAACTACCATAAACACATACTTTGATACTGGCAACAGCAAATCGGTAATTAAGTTCGAGAATAAAAATTCTGTATCATCCACAATTAAAGTTCTCCCCCATTCCAATGATCTTGTAAGAGAGTAACCTAAAAAATGAAAACTTGAAATCATTCCATATGGCCTTAATGAATGAATTAACACTTTATTATTACTTTTGGATATTTTATTGATGCCTGATATACAATTGTATTCTTTATAATTTATATTGCTATTTAAATTATTAAACTGAAATGTATCTAATTTTTTGTAAAAATTAAAAGTTGGGAATCTAGAATCTACTTTCACAATCTGTAATAATTGACTATATTCTGTCGTTTCGTTAATATTGTTATATTTACAACAACCCAAATTATATTTATATGACCAAACCCTATTGACTGTTAAAAAATGATCCATTCTTTCTTCTAAAGTTTCTTTAATTTGACACATTCCAAATATCGTAATAGAACTGTTTATTGAATTATCTATTTGAAATATTAATTTTAACAAGTAATCAATATCTTTTAGTGAATAAATATCAATTATTAAATGATTAAATGTGTTTTTATTATTGTTTAAATTATTTAATAAATCTTTAAAGTTTTTAATTTTTATATAATTATTGTTTTTATTATTATTATTTAGATTATAGTTAAAAAATGGTGATAAATCTTTTTGTTGGTAATAGAATTCAGAGATAAAGTTTAGGGGTTCATTAAATGAGTTTATTATTTTTGAAGAATAAAAACTTGATATTTGTTTATTATTTTTATTATTATTGTGGTTTTTTAATCTTTTGATCTTATTAAAATCGTAAGATATTTGAATATAAATTAAATCTTTATTATTACTATTATCTATATTAGTATTATTATTATTATTATTTATATTATCATTTTTATTGTCATAATTATTGGGGGTTAAAAGAAATATGATAAGATAGAT